GAAAGGTTGTAGGCATAGCTCTCAGCAGTTCTTGAATGGAGCTTTCCTACTTCTTTGTCTGCAATGGCCAGTTACCAGATTTTGACACTAGTGTAGGTGACCAGAGCTTAGGGATCCACCTCCAGCCCATATCTGTCATGCACAATAGCAGTGATAATCTCTTCCCTATTTCTTCCTTATTTGTCTCTTTTATCCAGGAAGTGATATCCCATCTGGATGAAGAAATGTTCTGTTGCTCTTTCTGAGCTTCCATTTTTTTCACTTAGTCTAGTCCTGGGCATGAATATTCTTATGAGCTCAGCAAGAACAGAAAGCCCCATTGCTCATCAAGGAGAAGTTACTTCTAACACTTCCAGTCTTGGGGATTCTACTATATCAGGAAGAAATCCTTATATTTTTAAAAGATTTTTAAAGGAAGCAGGTTTATTGTAAAAGAAGAATTGTTTTGCCTAATAAAAGCTAGCAAGATCTGGCTATGGCATCATGAACTGTCAAGCCCCAGAATGGTACTGTGGAATGCATCTTACCAAAATAGCTGATAATGTCTGAAGAAACACCTCACGTTTTTTGGAGTGTGGTGGTTTTTGTTTGGTTTGTTTGTTTGTTTTACCTGCAATACTTGTTCCTTGCTTTGCTCAAGTGATAGAGGTGCAAAAGCCAAGGTTCAGTTATGGGATTCAGTTTGATGTTCTGGGAAAAATGTCATTAAAAAGACCCAAGGTTGCTGTTTCTTTAATATTTGGTTCTGTAAAGCTTTTTTATGGGGAGTGGTAATTTATTCTAGAAATAACACCATTGAATTCACTGTCAGAAACAGTGGTAGATGTTGACCTTTAAATTTCTTTAGTTCAAGATGGATTATTTAGTTGTGTTTATATCAGCAGGGCATGAACAGAGTCCTTTTCTGCCAATGCCTGCTGGTTACATTTCACCCTAAAAAAGCAGTCATGGAAACTGTGTCCAGGCTTAAATCAAAACAAGTTTTGGAAGTTCTTTATATCTATACTCCTGTGCCTTTTTTTCTTCCAACACAATATGTGACAGGAAGAGTTTTCATGCACTCAGACATTATGAATTGAGCCATTGTCTAATGAAGAAAACCGAACCAATCAACACAACTTATGTCCCCTTAGGTTTTTTTCCCAGAAGTTCCGAAAGATGGGACAACTTCAACTTTATGGGTTTATTTTCAGCTGTCCTGAAAGCATATAGCAAAGAAAGAGGGTCTTGCTACTTACTGTTGGACCAACTGCCTCCGAAGGATTCTGTAGCATTACCTGCAGAAGAGTCAACCACAGAAGTCAAGACACTCAGCTGCTAATGATGTTGTGCTGGTTTGGGCTGAAGTGGAGTTAACTTTCTTCAGAGTGGCTAGTATGGGGCTATGTTTAGGATTTGTGCAGAGCACAGGGCTGAGAATGTAGAGATGTTTTTGTTGCTGCTGAGCAGAGCTTACATAGAGCCAAGGCCTTTGCTGCTTTCCATACTGCCACGCTGGCAAGGAGGTTGGGGGTGCATGGAAGGCTGGGAGGAGACACAGCTGGGACAGGTGACCCAAACTGACCAAAGGGATATTCCATGCCATATGACATCATGCTCAGTATATAAAGCAGGAGGAAGAAGGAGGAAGGTGGGACATTTGGAGTGACAGCATTTGTCTTCCCAAGGAACCATTACATGTGATTGTCCCTGCTCTCCTGGAGATGCTGAACACCTCCTGCCCATGGGAAGCAGTGAATTAATTCCTTGTTTTGCTTTGCTTATGTGTGCAGCCTTTGCTTTCTCTATTAAGCTGTCTTTATCTCAAGCCATGAGTCTTTCTAGCTTTTATCCTTCCGATTATCTCCCCCATCCTGCTGGTGGGGGAGTGAGCAAATTGCTGCGTGGTGTTCGGAGGCTGACTGGGGTTAAACCACGACAGATTTGAATGCTGCAGAAACAAATATTCCACATATCCTTCGAAAACACTAAGTTAAATGAAAGTATCTTGCACACCAACTCTGCAGTATGTTTTTCTGCTTGATGTTCAACTTCCTTGCAGTGATGATTAAAATGCTATTTTCTTTACAGGTTAATCTGTGATGAGATCAGGCAGCTTTTAAGTATATTGTTCCTGTTCACTTTATCCTATCATTTAACAGCTTTATTCTGGATGGTGATTAAGCATAACAATACAGCACTTTTCTAACATCAGATGCATCAGAGGCAAACCATTTTTGTCAAGCATACAGATGTGCACAGCCTAACTGGTACAGTAGCTGCTGCCCTAGTAGGCGTGGTATGTAATGCTCTCATCAGAATTTGATTCAGCTGAGTATTTCTGCTATGCTCTTTTGATTTACCTTTTGTTAGTGGTTCCTATGTCTTCAGTGATTTGGGATGACATTCCCACTTTTCGTTAAACCTCCGTGCTTGTTCTGGTTGCTGGATTGTAGCTGATACTCTCAGATTTCCAAGTGCTATGTATCCTTGTACGTGTATTTTCTAACAACATGTGCATTGAACAGAAGGCCACGATTTCACAGCTCACAGGCATACACGTCCAAAGCAATCCAGTAGGTTGTGAACTGTGAAGAGGCATGTAATGGTGTCAGCATATGGTCGGGATTCAGTCATCTGAGGACTTGCTTTGTATTCTCTTTTAATTAATTAATTTGTTTGCATTTCTTGCCTGTTTTCTCCTGCACATGTCTAAGGGTCGGTACATAGTGCCATAATGACTGTGCCAGCCACAGTGCTGTGTTTTCTCAAAACAGGGCTGACCATGTCAGCTGATGAAACTGGATACTTCTCTAGTGCAGACATATCTCTTGACATGGGTACTGTCATTAGGGTATCAGTTTTGTAACGGATATTTATTTCATTCATGAAGTAATTATTTCAGCAGAGAGACCATGTGGATTTGACTAGTCCCAGACTCTTTTCTCAGTCTAGATAACAGAGATTGTTATTCCTGCTATAGTACCACAACAGTAGAAATTGGGAGAAAACACCTGGTGGTCAAGGCACAGATTTGACACAGAAGAACATGGCAAAGCAGTGTTTCCAATGTTACTCTCACAGCCTTGGTGAGCCCTCTAACCAACCAGCTGTCCACCCTTCTGAGGTAGGGATCTGCGTTTAGTCAGAAAATAAAGTTGTGGTTCTGGTTTAGTTCACAGCAAGAAAATACTTCAGAATCATGAACTTTCTTAGCAGGTTTAGCATTATTCTATCAGGTTAGTATTATTTCTGGCTGTAATGTCTAGCAGAGAGCAGTGGAATTGAGCTGCTCTCAGTTTGTTTTATTCAGCTTACAGCAAAACAGTTGCATAGACAATTTGGCTATGAGGTTGTCGGTTGACTTGTTCTTGAAAAACGTCTCCAGGTAAACAATGAGCAAGTATTTTATGTTGTGTCATATCCTCTGTCTATGAAAAGATGTACCTGCATTGCATCTAGATTGTCTTCCAAGAATTTGAAAAAATTACAGTAACATTTTTATGATTTTCTTGTCAAAACTAAGATATGCATCAAATACGAAAGTACCTTAAAAGCAACCACGTCAGCCTTTCTCTTTCACTTCTGTTAAAGTTTGCACAGTTCTCGTGCTTTCCATGATGTTTTTGTGCATGTCAGGAGGGCTCCTCTGAATTTTCATGAGTTCATGTACACTGATATTGTGATTAAGACTTCTGGTCGAGGTGATCAGTTCCTATTTCCATCTGAATGTCAGTAGAAAACAAGAGGATTGCAGTTAGAAACTTTTTGTTGTCTCACTCAAGGCAAAGGGAAGAGTACAATGAGCTTGACTTCAGGTTACATGAGAACTGCACATTTAACAGGCCTAATCAAGAAAATGGAATTTACATCAGAGTGTGAAGGTCTGTGGAAATACTTACATCCAACATCACCACTTGAAACAACTCTGCTAAGTCTGTTGAAAGCACAGAGTGGCAGGTCACTCAGAAAATTCTGCTCAGGATTTTGTGAGTTCTCCTGGTCCCTTCTGACCAAGGGACACTATATACCCCGCTCAAATTTTACAATGGTGCCTTCAGTTATCCATGGAAAAGAGATGAGTGAATAATTTGCTTCATTAAAATGCAGTGAAATGCTGTTGCTCTCAAGGCTGATGATTACAGTTGTAAAGAGAGTTTTATTTTGAAGGATGTTGGTTGATTTTTGCTCCATTCAGATGAGAATATTTGTGCTTGACAGCGGAAGGAGAAGAAGGAAGCAAATATATATTGAGCATGAGAATGGAAGAGAGTCGAAGACTGAAATGGAAAGGCAAAGATACATGGCAGCTTTTGTCTAAGGCAAATAAGCTGTGTTGCAACTTATCCTCAGTGTTAGGAAATGGTTTCCTTGTCACTTTCCTCCATTTATTTTCTCCTTGAAAGATAGTCAACTGATGCTATACAAATGCTCTATCACCACCATTTGAATAAAAGGCAGGGTGAACCAATACCTTGTCTTTGTAAGTGGCAAATGTGCAGTGTTTTGAGCATGTGAGGCCAAAGGGATCTCTGATCTTTCAAGGGCTCCTGTATTCCTTGCATTGATGTATCCTTCAAAGCTCATCTCCTGTGCCTGATGCCCTAGTACCCATATGTTTGACAAGGGGGAATTTTCTGACAATACTTTCTGCTCCAATTTGAAAATTTATTCTTTAGCTCCACCTCCTGGCTCTTGGTCCATGAAAAGGAGGATCCTTTGGAATCACAGAGCCTCAGGAAGGGATCAGAAGTATTCATCCTTGTTTACAAACAGTGTAGAGGTGTTTATGGGGACATTTTATCTGGGGCAAGACAGAGGTTGTTGAGCCTACTCCTGCTGTTTCTCAACAGAGGCAAAGGTTTTGGTGGAGAGGAGGACAGGAGGACATGTGGCTCATAGTTCCTGCTTTTGGGCTTTTAGTTTCTCAACTGTGGCAGTTTCAATACATGACAGACATCACAGAGCAGTTGTTCTTTTTGACTGTTTTTTCTTTGGTACTTCCTCAATCTTGTGGGGGTGGGGAGGCACAGGAGAAATCGTCTGACACTGAAAGATTAAAAAAAAAATCTCTGAGGCCTTGCAAAGGAGTCTTGTCTCACACAGGGAGAATTACTTTGTCTGTTCATCCTATTCAACCAGGAACTGCCCAAGAAGTAGAGGAGTAGAGCTTAGCCATCTGGATTGAAGAAGCTGAAAACCATGTCTCTTCCCCGACAGCTGCGAGAAAAGAGGTAATGTGTCTCTCCCTCCTCCTGCCTCCCCACAAGCCTCACGTAACTGTTGTGATCTGTTTGCCTAGTTTGGATGGAAGCAGTTTTGGCAATTCTAAAAGGCTTCCTTTTAGAATTAGGATTAGGATTATTAGGATTATTATTATTAGGATTAATAGACTGCTCAGTGTGGAGCAGACCATTTCTTACATTGAAGTGAACCTTCTTCTTTTTGTGAGGAATATTCACCACCTTGAACATAGTGGCTCATTGTCCTCTTTATAGCTACAAACAGTTTCCCTTTTACTGGGATTTGTGATATGAGTGTTTGTGATATGACTAATTATATCTCTTGGTCTCCATAACCACATCCTTCTTCACAGTAAAGGGTAGCATTTGCAGTGTTGTGGGTGGTGCTGATTCATGGCATTCTCCTCGTACAGCAAACTATTGCAAGTCTTTGCATCATTACTTTAGCCTTTCAAATGGGCTACGCCTTGTGGAAATCCCTGCTTGGGATAGTCTCCCCGCAGAATGAACAGAGACAATTGCCATGTTTTTTTTGTACTATCAGAATATTTAATATTGCATCACCTTGGCATTTCTTAGGTGATCCTTTAAAAAATTTCTCTTTACCTCATTTGTGATCATTTTCTCCTCATTCTGGATGCTGTTTACTTAGGTGTTAATATAAATACCATTCTAACAACGTTGAGTTGTAATATTAAAGCAAAGGCAAATCTGTCTTCTGCTTGTCAAAGCTGTTGTACCAAGGAAAAGGTCACAGAGGAAAAAGAACCTGCCAATCAATGCTGTTTTGTTACGTGGACAATATAAACAAGTAACATGAGTGTGTGGTCATGTGGCTGTTCTTTAGGTATTCCTGCAGGGATCCTTCCTTCTTTTTTCATAGAATCACAGAATCATAGAATTTAGGGGTTGGAATGGACCTTGCAGATCATCTAGTTCCAATCCTCTGCCATGGGCAGGGACACCTCCTCACTAGATCAGGTTGCTCAAGGCCTCAAATGTTGAATAGTTTTGTACATTTCTAATGGAAAATACGATTATTTTGAATGTTGCAATGCTGTCTTTAGCACGGAGAGCAGCTCAATTCTCACACCTCTTTTGTTCCTAACTTCCCAAGTGTTTTATAGAGCAGCATCTTTCCATGTCAGACTGCAGAGTGCAGTGAGCACGATATGCCAAAGATCACAGGGGTTAATAGTGATTTTTCAGCTGACCACAGTGATCTTGGATGTGCCTGGCAATATTTAAAGGAGTTTTCAAACACTGTTGTTCCTGCAGGTTAGGTTCAGAAGCTGCAATGCAGAAAGAGTGAAACAAGTCAAATAAACCGATTGTTCTATAAAAACAAGCAATCAGCAAAGTGCTAGAAAATCCCATTTTGGCAAGAAAACACTCCAGCTTTGTTCTTTGGTGTTAGGATGTTATGGAGAGCCCTTAGCAGAGCTATAAATTTGTGTAACATGAATGTTTATCTGCAGACCTCTGTGCATGTCGTGTAGAATTGGAAACACTCTCCATGCTTTTATCTTACACATTCATTGCTTTGCCTCTCATGGTCTTTTTGTTTGGTTTTTCGGAAATTTGTGCTTCAAATCCAATCCTTTCTAGGATCTGCAAAGCTTATTCTAGCCTTGCCTACTTTCATGTGTTCCTTCACACATTTTTGACATTTTCAAACAGGTATCTTTGTGCTTTCTTCAGGTTATCTGCTCTGACTGGGACATCTCCCTGTAAATAACTGCTAGCCTACTCATTCTTTTTTTCAAAGCCTCTATAAGAGTTTGCTTTATTGTGATATTTACTAGAAAACTTGGTGACATTTCAACAGCTGGTGCAGGCACCACTAATAATGATAGAGAACAACACTATGGGTTTGTATCTTTGCTCTTTTTCTGTTGTGCTTATCCTTCTGTTCTCTCTTATATGGATACCACACACTGTATACTTCTTGCCCATTGAGTATAAGGTTTTTAGGCATTAGCTTTGTGCTGTCAGTTTGTACAGCACCTAGCACAACAAGCCCTTTCTCAGAACTGTTTCCTATTCCCTGCAGTAATGCAGTAATCATAACAGCATAAATCGTGGTGTATAATGATCTCCTTCGAGTAAGATATACACTGCTGCAGGGTTATTGTTGTAAGTCTCCTAGATGCTGTAGGAAGGATTAAGAATGCATCCACAGATGATCACATTTCTCAGGAAAAGCTTAGCAACTTAAGTGTTTTTTTGTAGTCCTTCTCCTCTAGCAAGCCTTGGAATGATAGGGCTGGTTTTCAGGTGTGACAAATCTTCACAGTGGTCACTGACTTGTGTTGAGCTCCTAGAAACTTGACATCTCAAGATCAGACCTTGAGAGGAGGAGAATGGCACCATGAGTTTCTAACTTCTTGATTTTGACAGTAGAAAATGTGATCTTGCCTATCTTTGTTCTGTATGACATAGAGACCTCAAAGGCTAATATCAGTGTGAGTAACCAAATTTTTGTTCTTGCTTCGCAGTGATTTTGACCAGCTTCCCGATGATGTACCTGTTTCAGCTAACATTGCAGATATTGAAGAGAAGAAAGGCTTTACTAATTATTATGTAAGAAGGGAAATTTATCCTGTCTCTATATGCTTTCATCTGTGACTGCTTTGGTTGTTAATGCAGCTAACCTGGTGTAATTGCTTTTTGTCATGAATAGTTCCATGAAGAAAACTTCTCAGTGCATCTTTATTTTTCTGGAATGGGGGATAGTCACAGATTTAGTCTAAAAATTTATTTCCTGAGTGAAATGTGACAGAGATATCCTCTAACATTGCCTGTTTTCTAAATTCTCACCTAATCTCTCATTTATTTCCTGTTGGAATGCTGTACCTTTGGTGATGATTGTAGGAAAGGAATTCAAAGAGGGTAGAAGGGTGGAGTCTTGTCTTCATTATTCCATGATACTAGCAAGTTAGGATGCTCCCATCTTCACAGAAGGGAACATATTAATAAGGCATGAAAGAGCACACAGGAAGGGAATAGTAGGGGAAAACACTAATATTTTCTGAAGGTTTTGAATATGACCAGTTCAGTCTGTCTTCCACTGGAGACATTGCTCATAAAACCTTCCCACTGCAGTATGCAGGTTTTACTCTGGAATACAGTGACATTTGTTTGCTCTGTCTTTATGTTTTCTGAAGAATCTGGCTGCAATGTGACTCACAGGTCAGTGCATGGAAATCATAGGTTCCTTTAGAACAAAGCAGTTTTGTCAAGATAAGTAATAAGATAGTGGTTGGAGGAGGTCAGACCATAATTTCTGCAATTGTGTACCTTACAGGAAGGGATCCTTGCTTCTCTCTTGCTTCAAATCCAATACTTTCTGGGGTCTACAAAGCTTATTCTAGCTTTGTCTACTTTTTAACTTTCTGTCAAGAAGTATGAATGCCTTCAGCTTTGAAAAATCAATTCATTTAGAAGTCTGTTGATAGATTTAGGTGCCCAAAGCATCTTACTGTAAAATATTTGTATTTTACCTCCCTAATGTGTTTTGCTTGTCACTGAGGGAAGGTGTGTAAGCATAAAGTAGAATCTAGTAGTTTCATATTTCCTTTGAAGACTATGTAACAGAAAGCAGCCACAGGGACATGCTTCATGGGAAAGTTGGACCCACACGTATACCTCACTGGTGCAAACTTGTTCTTTTCTAGTTCTTGAGTCTGCAGATCCCTAACTGAAGGTTTGCTTCCCACTCTCCCCCTAAGAGAATATTCCCTCTAGTGGACCACTGATCTTGTGTTCCTATTGTATGCCTCACTTTCATTTGGTAAGGATTTATGAGTATGAACATCAGCCTGAATCTCCCTTCTCTGTTTCAGCTGTTTGTCATTGAAGTAAAGCTTAAAGGTGGTGGCAGATACCTGATTTTCCGACGCTATCGTGAGTTCTATGCCCTGCACACCAAACTAGAGGAGAGATACGGGCCAGGGAGTGACAGCAGCCCCTTTACCTGCACACTCCCTGTATTGCCAGGTAAGCTGGCAGTACCAAATCCTTGCATGACTAGCAGCTTTCTCAGCTTCAGGCTGTCCTAAAGAGGAGTCAGTTGAGGGAAGTAATTGTGACAAGGAACTAGTTCCCAGCTGTGCATGACCAAGAAGTCAAGTTCCATTGACAGTCCCTTCACTTGTGGTAAAGTTCAGTCAGAAACTTAAAATCCTTTAGGACATATGCATTTTCTTGTATATCATAGTTTCTCCTGATTGCTTCATTACTCTGATAGCCTCCTTTTTTTTCCTTCAGTAACTGTCACAGGTTTTATATTTTCCAGGAAAAGTTTTTGTTGGTGCCAAAAGGGAAATTGCTGAGAACAGGATTCCTATCCTGAATATCTACATGAAGGTATAACTTAATTTTAAGGTAGAGAATGCACTGAACACTGCAGATACTTACCCCTTGAAGTCAGCTAAGTGAGACGATACCATTACAGTCCTAGAATCATAGAATTTTAGGGGTTGGAATGGACCTTATAGATCATCTAGTCCCAATTCTCTGCCATGGGCAGGTACACCTCTCCTCTAGACCCAGGTTTCATCCAACCTGGCTTTCAACACTGCCAGGGTTGGGGCATCTACTACTAGGTATCTGCTCCTCTCTGTATCGTTTTTCCTGAAGACACAGTGCCTACACTGTGGTACAACCCAAGTCCTCTTCCCCAGGTTGATCAGACTGTAGCATCTGCTGGAGTATGCAATTCACAAAGGTTTCATATACAGATAGATATCCTTATTAAAAAAAAAACCAGCCCAGATTTATGATAAAATGGTGAATCTCCGGGTCTTGCGTGAATACAGAGTTGGTGTGTGCATCTAAGGGACCAGGAGAATGGTGTGTGGTTGGTGCTTTAACCCCACCACCAGGTAAGTACCACACAGCCTCTTGTTCACTCCTCCCTCATCTGTGAGAATGGGTCAGAGAATCAGAAAAAGTTGAAAGCCATGAAATCAGAACAGTTTAATAATTTAAATAAAGTCAAATGTAATGCAAATGCAATTGTAATTAAAAGGGAGATAACAAAAAGAGAGAGAAAAAATAAAACTCAAGGAAAAATAAAAAGCCAAACAAGTGATGTGCAATACAATTGCTCACCACCTGCTGACCCATGCCCACCCAGCCCATGCACTGAGCAGTGATCAGTGGCTCCTGGCCAGCTCCCTCCAGTTTATATGCTGGGCATGACATTCAGTGGTATGGAATATCCCTTTGGCCAGTTTGGATCAGCTGTCCTGGCCATACTCCCTCCTGACTTCTTGTGCAGCTCCTCACTGGCAGAGCACGGGAACTGCAAAGTCCTTGGTTTTGTGTAAGCCACTAGTTAGAAACAGCTAAAACGTCAGTGTGTTATCAACATTATTCTCATGCTAAATCCAACACACAGCACTGTACCAGCTACTAGGAAGAAAACTGACTCTGTCACAGCCAGAATCAGGACAGGTGGGATCCTGGGTGTACCTGCTGTACAGTGAAGATGCAGCCAGTATACATCAAGGAGAGAAATTCTTTGTGTGCAGGTTAACTGAAGACCTGGCTTTAAATGAGTAAAATTCTGAAGCAGTGGCCAAGTAAGATTTCCTTCTCTCCACAGTTATTCATGTTCTGAAGGGAAACACAAAGAGCAATTTACTCCTGCAGTAAATCAGGCACAAAAAGAGTGAAGCAGTACATTGGCCAACTCCAGGAGTAAAGAGGAAAAACTGTCAGCTGTTCAGCTGTGTCCTGCTGAGTGAGAAGGGAGAGGAGGGAGATTTCTGGCAGTAATGAATATTCTTCATGATCCTGTAGGTCAGAGAGGCATATTTGTTACATGTAAATAAACAGAGAATAGGTGTCTCCCACTGTTACACTCTGCTTCCTACTTGCTCTTGGCACAGAACCTACTCTGCCTCCCTGCTTGGGTGTTGATGGATGAAGATGTACGGCTGTTCTTCTACCACTCACCCTTTGATGGTGAACAGGTGCCTCACAGGCTGAGGAGGCTTCGCCCACGGACACGCAGAGTGTAAGTGACTGACATGTTTTTCCAGCATTGCTTGATGCTGTCCAGCTTTGAGGGGAGAGAGATGAGGCTCACTGTGTTACCCAAGTGAATCCATGAATTTCTAATGTGAGGATCATTGTCGTAGAGTGAACTCAGGGTATTTCTTGTTTTCAGTAATCTCAGATTTTTAAAGTGGATGTGGTACTTGCATGAAAGGAAAATTCCAAAGGGAGAGTATAGCTTGCTTTAAAAAATACTGTCCAGCTCTATGTATCGATATTTCATAGAATCATAGAATCATAGAATTTAGGGATTGGAATGGACCTCACAGATCTTCTAGTCCCAACCCCCTGCCCTGGGCAGGGACACCTCCCACCAGAGCAGGTTGCTCACAGCCTCATCCATCCTGGTCCTGAACACTGCCCGGGTTGGGGCAGCCACCACGTCCCTGGGCAACCTGTGCCAGTGTCTCAACTAAAAAAAAAAACTTTCACATCCAACCTAGACTTTCCGTCCTTCAGTCTGAGTTTCTTTAATACCAATCTCTGTTATAACGTGTAGAATATACAGGCCAAGCTTAAGAACATTGGTTCGCACCACTGAAGTCAATGTGAGTTTTGGCACTGAATTCAGTGAGATCTGTTGCAGGCACTAAATGAAACTGAATCCTTAATTTGTTCCTGTAGTTTGTCTGAACAAGGGCCTGTCCTACATAGCAGCATTGACACCCCTTCCGAAAACTGCTAAGCAGAAGTCATACTTCATTACCCCTCAGACAAATTAATTCTTCCTTCAACATAACAAAGATGGACCCACTTCCTTGTCACTTACCTCAAACAGTGCAAAACCTGCATGTGTGTATGATGGCAGAGTTTGAACTAAATGCCATAAATGCTAGAAACAGAGATGCCCAGAAGGCAGAACAGGGGGCTGAGCAGTGCTGTGGAAGAGAGGTCCAGGATACTGACTGTATTGAAAATTCCATCTGTTCTCAGCAGCAGATACCATCAGATTGCTGCTGCTCTGCACTGAAACCGAGAGAACTAGGGCAATGTTGTTGCATCCGTGTTTATTTACTTCAGTGCTGCACACAGATCCTCATGCAGTTTCTCCAGTGATCTATGGCTCGCCTGCCTCTTAAATAGTGGAAATGCAGACACTGCTACTGATTGTGTAGCATTTTTGATGACTAGAAAGACATGTTTACCTCCCTGTTGTCTCCTTTCTTTGCAGTAAAAGCATTTCACATCAAGTGCCTATTTTTGACCGCACAGCAGCTCCACGGGCTGAGGTGAGTACTCTGCACAACCTGTCAGAGGATAGGAGATTAAACTGTGTTTTACTTTGGTACCTCATCCATCAAGTTGCCTTTTCCAATTAGAGCTTGGGGGAAGAGAGTGAAATCAACAGAGAAAAACAATTGATTTTAACAACAGGGAATGAAACAAAGGATGGAAAGAAGTGTTCTGGTCCTTATTACCTGAGTAATAAGAAGGTCCATTGTGAAATCAGAATGACAGGAGATTAAAAACTGAGAGGCATGTACAGCTTACTGCTGTACTGCTCCACATTTGCATCATGATACCCAGAAACTCAATTTAAAACAGGCACAAGCTGCAGCTTCATTGGCCTCGGCATATGTTTCAAAGCTTTGCAGGTGAGGCATCTATGTCTTTTCCATAACATTAGTGTTCTACTGAAAAGTGCCTATGCCCTTGTCTTTTGTGGTATGTTGTTTCAGTATTAAGCACACAAAACTACTTTGTAAGCAGGACCTGTCTGAGCAGATCTCAGAACAGTCATATCTCTTGGGTTTTATTCATGAATTTATTAATATTGAATATACATGCCAGAACTTTTCAATGGGTGAAAAAAGGCTTTTGAAAGCTATTAAGTAGACATATGAACAACCAGCACAACAGGAGCTATTGCCTTTTCTTTTTTTTTTCATTAGGACCACTCTTGGCATTAAAAAGACCAAAAGAACTATCTCAACACAGAATAAAGAACACCTTTTCATTTTCACTGAGAGCATTTAAATGAGTACCATATTCTCTAAGGATAACAGAGGATATGTGCATTTTTGATAACTCAGCCACTTGAATTATACAGGAACAGTTTGTTAGGGTGGTAGCATGTACTTACCTCCCTTTTGTTTGTTTGTTTGTTTGTTTTTTTCCATGAAGAGAGCATCTAAGTTCCATTTTAACTACATGACAATTTCCCAGCCTTCCCCAAATGTTCAGCATACAGACCTGAAAGCTTGGTCCAAAAACAAGTTAGTCCCCCTTAAATTAGGACACAACAACCACAGAATCATAAAATCATAGCATTTTAGGGCTTGGAATGGAGCTTATAGATCACCCAGTCCCAACCCCCTGCCCTGGGCAAGGACACCTCCCACCAGAGCAGGTTGCTCAAGGCTTCATCCAGCCTGGTCCAGAACCCCCCCGGGGTTGGGGCAGCCACAGCCTCCCTGGGCAACCTGTGCCAGTGTCTCACCACCCTCACAGGAAAAAACTTTTTTCTAATATCTAACCTAAACTTCCCCTCCTTCAATTTGAAGCCTTTACCCCTTGTCCTATCATTGCAGTTCCTAATTTTTTAAGGCTCTTCATGATATTTTGCAGCAAATTTCAAAGCTGTAAACCTGCATCTAGAAATAATATAACTTTTCAATTCTCAGGATTTCAAGCTGTCATTTGTCTGAAGCTTTCTTGTCTTACTTGCTCCTAAGTGTTTGAGCTTATGCATATTTATTTCTTTGGTGCTCAGTGTTCTGCCACTTTAAGAATCCTAGAATGTAGCTCCCTCAGGGCCGTGTTTATCCTAGTGCTTTCACTGCGTGGTCAAAGCATTTTTGTGTGTGCTAAGCAGGAGAAGAAATTGTGAGAACTGAAGACTGTGGTCATATATGTGTAACCTTATCCCAGAAACACATCTGTGATGACCCCATCGATGCTATCTGGCTGCTTTATGCTTTCACCTCAAGGACAGAATGGAAAGAAAGATTCACTTTTGTAGCTCTGTGAATGAAAAATTTCAATCTTATAGGCACTGTTTGATTTTCCTGGAACCAATAAACTGGAACTCAGCTTCAAGCAGGGAGACTTGATCTATCTACTCAGCAGAGTAAACAAAGACTGGTTGGAGGTAAGACTGCAATAGCAGTGCTGAATTATTAGCATACCTTGACATACATGAGTAGAAAAGCTCTCCTGGTCCTTCTGACCTGTCTCCTCCTTTCAAGGAGAAACTGTATCATAATCAAGTCTAACTGTTAAGTTTGGGATCCTTGATTCCAAATTTGTAATTGTTTCATTCCTTGATGCTTTTTAGCTTACAAATTTTCTGCCCTCCAGACTTCAGTTTTCGCTTGCGTTTGCTTCTGTTGAAATGTTTTTAAATTCTTTGGAAGTGATTAGAACACAGAAAGGCCACAGAAAGGAGATGGAAACTCCATTTCAGCGATTAATTGGTTTCTTGCCTCAGGGTGAGTTGCTGTGTGCTTCATGCTTCATACCACAACACACGTCAGCCTGATTAGAGAGAACTTGGGTAATGCAGCAGTGTTCTGAAAAAGGATGAGGAGAACATACTGTGTGTTTGCTGATATGATATCTCTGCTTGCTCAAACACCACAGCCTTCCTTGCTAACCATATGACTTTCATTTTTTACACACTATTTCACTCCCCTGCCTGGTATTTGGCTATGCAATTGTATAATCTTTTCATAGGGATGCCATCAGGTCACTTTCCATAGCCTTTGTTTTCTTGACTCTTGTTTCCGTGGAAATTGATTGAACTCCAGAACTTACTGTGTGTGACCAAAATGTTGTGGTTTTCTTGATGCTAATATTTCCTCTCATTCCAGGGAACAGCTGATGATGCCACTGGGATTTTCCCACGTGCTTTTGTGAAGATCATAAAAGATTTACCGGAGCAGGAAGACACAGTTAATAAAATCCGCTGTTATTGCCATGATAAGACTGTGAGCACTATCAAGTAATAAGAAAACAGTTTTCTAGTTTACTTATGAAGAAATGCCAATAATTCTCTTCCCATGATAAGTAATGATTAGGACTGTTCTGATTACAGAGATATCTCAGTGGAAGAGGATCTGAGCAGCATTCCATCATTCAAAGATCTCATGGAATTGATGAGGTAAAATGTTGCAGTTTGTGTATTCAATGCTTAAACACTTGTCAAGTTCACTCCAGTCCTAGACTTTCCACATTCTATTTGGTCATCACTACATTTTGGGTGTGAAATACTTTTCAAGGGCCTTGAAGAAGTTGTACTTTTACTTGGCCCAGGGCCATCTGCGCAGACACTACTCTGCCTTGGGAATGTCAATAAATATGGAATGATACACACTTCTGACTCAATTATGCTGGGCAGAAGTTTTTATTTCCAATTCTAAGATCAGAGCCATGCCCCATGGAAGCATCTTTTATCTAATACACTTCTTCAGGATGCAGGACACTGCCTTCTAACACCTGTTATACTAGTGTTAAACCAGATTCATCTAGTGTTGAACATCAACACTTTAGAACACCAAATATTAGTAACAGAACACCTGTGCTAATGTTCTCACACTCCTCAGAAAAAGCAACCATAAGTAGGCAAAAGTGGGTAGGAACTACAGTCGACTCTTTTGTAATGGAATTTTATCAAACACACACACATTAATTGTGCCGTGCATGTGGTGTAACTAGGAATGGTCCTTGGTTCTGATACATTTCTTATCTTAAACACAACACAGCGTGAATGTGGCTGTATGATTTCTGGTTTGAGCTGCATCAAGAATGCCAAGACACCCAAGGCTTTGTGTGGCTTTTAGCAGAATTAGCTAGATTGCCAGTATATTGTTCATCATGGAGCATCTCCCAGGCAGTCCTTGATTTCTGGGGATCAATCCACTTCTTTTCTACCAGGCGGGAGCTTGACCGAGATGACATTGTCTTGAATTACCGGGACCTTGATGGTGATCTGATCCGGTTGCTCTCCGATCAGGATGTTGAACTCATGGTGTCTCAGAGCAGGAGAAGGCCCTCTGAGAAGCATTTCTTTCCTTGGAAGTTGCACATCACTCATAAAGACGACTTGGGTGTCTACAACACTAGTCCAGAAATAAGTGCTACTCAAACAGTAGGAGCAACGTAAGTGCTATAGAGATATGTTCCAGTAGGTAGCTCTACAGTCCTTCTACAGTCCCTCTCTGCAGGAAGTTTCCTTTAGCATGTCTTTGAAATGACCTTGAAAAGAGCAATTTTTAGTAATATATTACTTTTCAATATAAATCCATGCTTAGTTAGCTTCTTCAGCTTTTTAGCACTCTGCAATAGAAACATCTACACAGAGGCCAGAGAAGTTGAGGAACAGATCAATCAAATCACTGGCCACATTCTCAAAGCAAGTCTGCAGTAGAGCTTTGGTGTCCTGAGCCCCAAGACCTGCTCTAATCTCTGTTCTCACTCCCAGAGCTACTGGTTTGTCCAGAATGTCTTCATAAGCTTTTCTTTTTTTTCCTATACTGCCATAATTTTCTCTTCACTTGCTGATATGAAGGTTTGTGTGTCAGTGTGTAATTATTTCTGTCATGTTGGTGTCTAACTGGGCATTCAGAACTTCTAGAAGCATCAAGAAAACTTTTTCATATTTCAGTGAAGAAATTGAAGTGTTCCTCATAGACCTTTTTGTAATTTGTACAGACTACTTATTTCTGCAATCTGGGAAAATTTGTATGATGCCTTTCCAAACAGCAATATCTTCTCTGTCTTCTACTTTCTGACTCCTCATGGCAAAGTAGAGCCAACAAGAGATTGTGTATCACATTCTTCAACAAATAAAGTTAAATATGAGTTTATCAATTTATATTTAAAAGTGTTTTTTTGGGGTGGATTTAATTGACATTATTTTACTAAAATGTTACAAAATTTAACTTCCCACTTTCAGGGTGTTGTAGCAATGCAGCTTAGAAAGGGGATGAAGCAATATACAGTGATCTTATGCATTCTGATACGTAAGAGAATGCATATTAAATTTGAAACCTGACAGCATGCATGGCCTGCAAAGCTTCTGGTGTGCAGGATTCATTGTTACCTGCTTCTAGGGCTCAAGAGAGCAAGTGACAGCTGAAGACTTTCAGTGAGAGCTAGATAGATCCTGGGATATAACCAGCAACTCAGCACATCAGTCTGAAAGTGAAGGAGCATTTTGAGTGAGGAAGGAAAGGGAAGGAAAATGTCTGTTGGGTAACCAGAGACCTCTTTTCTAAGGGTGGGGAAGAACACAAACATACTGACCAGAGCAAGATAATCCAGCAAAGTTGCATGTTTCCCTTCTTGTCTGCAGGTTTTATATGCTCACCTCCTGACATGCAGTTTCCTCAGATACACTTATATGGCCATACCAATCCCATGCAGTGCTCCAGGATGGGGACAGTGGCTGGGGAGCACCAGGCCGAAAGGGACCTGGGGGGTTGCATAGATAGAAAGCTGAACATGAGCCAGCAGTGTGCTCAGGTGGCCAAGAAGGCCAATGGTATCCTGGCCTGGATCAGGAACAGCATGGTCAGCCGGACCAGGGCGGTGATTCTTCCTCTGGACTCAGCACTGGTGAGGTCACACCTTGAATTCTGTGCTCAGTTCTGGGCCCCTCAGTTCAGGAGGGATATTGAGGTGCTGGAGCAGGTCCAGAGAAGAGCAACGAGGCTGGTGAAGGGACTGGAGCACAAGTGTCATGAGGAGAGGCTGAGGGAGCTGGGGCTGTTTAGCCTGGAGAAGAGGAGGCTCAGGGGAGACCTTATCACCCTCTACAACTCCCTGAAAGGAGGTTGGAGTCAGGTGGGGGTTGGTCTCTTCTCCCAGGCAACCAGCAGCAGGACAAGAGGGCACAGACTCAAGCTCTGCCAGGGGGGGTTCAGGTTAGATATTAGGAAGAGATTTTTCACAGAGAGAGTAATCAGGCATTGGAATGAGCTGCCCAGGGAGGTGGTGGATTCACCCTCCCTGGAGGATTATAAGATGAGACTGAATATGGCACTTAGTGCCATGGTCTAGTAACCATGGTAGGGTTGGCCTTGATCTTGGAGGTCTTCTCCAACCCAGTTGATTCTATTCTATGATACTCTTCATCTTGCTCCATGTTTCCCTCATTCACAGCATACAAGTTTTTCCTCATTTATTGATGGAGTTCTGGTGAGAACATAACTCTGTCAACTGTAGTTTTGGTTAGTACCTTAGGCATTTAGGGAAGATGTAGTAGCAGTGCAGGACAGACAGACTCTGGCAGTTATATTCTGTATCCAAGGACTCATCTTAGTCCCCCATATTTTACTCCTGAGAGTGCAAACCTGAGTGTGCCTTTCCCTTATGGCTACCTAAGTTACCTATAGATCTTATTATTGAAGGTCCTGGGCTAAGTTTTAAAGTTGGATTAAAAGACTGTGGCTGACTTGGATGTAGGATAACTTCAACTCTTCTCAACAGTTTTCTCTTGGTTCCTTTATGTAGTATAATACTTGTAAGTCATTAGTAATTGTTGTTGAAATAGGTAAAATGTACTTTTAGAAGTATTACTAAAATCAAAGGGTTACAGAGATAAAGGTAATTCTCTCACCCCCAACACAGATGTACAAATGAACATAAAGTACAGAGTGATCCCTGCCATGAAGGTTGTCTAGTCTAGAGCAAAGCAAGAAACCACAATGGAGTGACGACCAGAGAATTCTGTCTTAGTCTTTCTGACTTGTGCTGACTTTCTGACTTTTTTTTCTTAAAATACATTAATCCCATGATCTGGTAATTGCTAACAGACAGATTGGCAATGACAAACTTTCTTTTCCTCCCTTCCCAGTTAAACAGTCCCATCTAAGTGCGTGCTTTGGGGGCTAAAATAGGAAGTACAGACTTCCTATTTTACAGGCAACTGCAGACTTTCCTTGAAAGGGCGGGGACTGTGCCTCTGAAAGTGGCATTTGAGGTGCAAGGAAGATGCAGCAGTTATTCTGAGGACTTGCCAAGAAAATCCTGTGGTTGTTTATACCTTCTGTCTCCAGTTCTAGGCAAGTGTGGGTTTGCTGGTTTCTGCAGGATTCTGGTGCTGTGGGGGCAGTCTGGACAGGGAGTGTCACCCATCAGGTTGAATCATCTGCCTCACAGACAGCTCTGGATCCAGGTAAGGGAATGTCTTCCTCCCTGGGGCAAGCACAAGCTCTCAGACAAGCGTTTGTGAGCCATTAAGGGTTTCCTTAGCTGTAACGATTATTCAAGGGCTCAGCCAGCTGTTTCTGGTGTAAGGAAGGGGCATTTAGGAATCTGAAAGTCAACAGGAGCTTAAAAGGAGTTTTTCAATGCTCCCCTAAAGTAGAAAAAAGTCTCAGACCTGTAATATACTTAAGTGACTGAGTTTATTAGGCTTTTGAAAGAGCAATGAGAGATGGCCAAAAGGACTTGAATTCCAGTATTGAACAGTGTGGTCTCTGGTCTTTGAACTGCTCTCACTCTCAAGAATCACAAAAAACATCCCAACCAACCAACAAAACAAACAAACAAAACTACCACAAGAAGAAATTATTTATTTGGTTTTATGTCAGCCATTTGCAACTTGTTTGGGGAGCAGCTGGAAAAAAGTATGGAAATTCAACCACTATAGTTCCCAGGAAATAGGCAATTGGAGTTCATATTTTTAAGGGAAGGTAAAAAATTGAACATTCTGGTTCATTAGGAAGGCTTTGAGCATAAAGAGCAGGAGGATGAATGAATTTGAAGGCTGAGTTCTCTTCACAGATTAGGATTGTTTCTTAGTGCTACTCAGTTTACAGAATCTTCCATGCAAATGTGCATTTGATTCATTCTTTGCTTGGATTGCAAGCTCATACGATAGGAAGACATGGATTTTGTCCTATGATACTTGGTAGAAGTTCTTTCTGAATGTCACTCCAACATGAAGCTTAAAGCAGTTCCCTTATTCAGTTTTACTTCTCTTTCTGTGAAACGAAAACAAGCAGCTCCACAGTAAGCAGAACAAGAGAGTAGCCAGTGGGCTACTTCTGAATTAGGATCAAGCCTGTGAGCAAAGGACTGTATGAACATGAAAGAGATTTTCATCCTGCTGCTGAATCTGCATTTGGTCTTCAGTGTCCAAGACATTCGAGGTGAGATTCAAAGTATTATAATTTTTTATCCTTCCATTATTGCCTTCCTTTTTGCATCTGCCTCCTTTCAGCTAACTCTCTTCCTCATTTTCTGCTTGCTTTTTTGCTTCCTTCTTCCACTGTATTCTATGCTGTAGGAGAACAAGTGTCTTGATCAAAACCAGCGTGTAGCAGGTGCATGTGCAGACAGATCAGTGGGATGTTGGTGGTATGACAGGTGAAATGCTGGATAAATGGATGAGATGAGCAAGCTGACTGGTTAATGAGTGAATAGGAAGGAGGAACAGACCCTGATAATTGGTGAAAACATAGCAAAGTGAAGGGCTGCATGACTCAGATGGTAGTGTACAGGAGTAGAGACATGTGGACAGACACAAGACCGGATGGCAGTGGCTACCAGGAGCAACATCCAGATGACCTGATTTCCTTCTACTGGAACTGCTGACAGATAAAGAGACCATCTGCCATATCCATTGCTTGTGTTTCTGAGTTTTTCCTTTCTGATGCAATGAGAGCTACTCTTTCTTTTTCTCTTCTCTTCTCTCCTCTCCTTCCTTCCTTCTTTCCTTCTTTCTTTCCTTCTTTCTTCTCCTTGCCCTGTCCTTCCCTGCCATCTAATTTGATTTAACAGAAGTGGGAATAGGAAGCATGTCCATGTATCATCTAGTGCACAATATGTGCATGGAGACTCAGGCCATAGTCATCCTATACAAAGCAGAAAAAAGGTGTTGTCAGTAGATGTGCCTCATGGACATTACCTGTTCCAATACAGATGCCAATTCCTGATGTCTGCAGTAGCTGGGGGAGTCACACTGCCTGGCCAGCAGCAATTGAGATCTCTGAGGGAAAATGTATTACAGTGCAGGTCAGACTGGCCTCTTGGCATTCTGAGCCTTTGCCTTATATTCAGACCATCCTTTTCTATGTGGGATGCTCCACTTTCTGGTTATGCAATGAATGCCGTAGAACTTGCTTCATGCTGCTCTTCAGTAGAAGATCAAAGTAAGGCTCCTCTTGTGACTCGTAGCTAATACAGCATCATTCTGTTCTGATGGGGTTGGGGTATTTTTTGCCTGTAAAAAGCCCCTCAAACAAGCTGATAGCAGCTCCCATCAGGAAAAATTACTTGAGAGAGCACACTCATGTATGAACACCGACATCTTTGTCATCTGAAGGTCACATCCCAATAATGCAGCACAGATATTACCTTCACAGGAAATAAAGAAGGGTAAGAAAGTAACTTGCTTTGTAGTGCATGTGCTGGGGCTGTCTGTATTCTCCAGATTCACAGCTGTGTAGTTAAAAAGTTACCCCTGACAGGAGATCTGGCCATTTCTGGGCCACACATCTAGTTCCAGTAAATTAGTTTGGGCATTCTTCTGAGTCATAACAAGACTATTTCCAGAGCATCTCACTTTTAAATATACCTTTCTAGAATCATAACCTGGGAAATTAGCCATGAAGAAGTTCATACACCAACACACAGAGGTGAAATGATCACCATATGCCTACTGATCATGGTATTTACTAATCCCTGGAAACAAGTAGTGTTTGAAAAGTAATACCCTGGCCACAATGATATGCCTTGCAGGCACAAAGATCTCACTTCACTGTTGTTATAGGTTCGTTTGGACACTTGCATATTGTGGAAATGTGCAGAATGGCCACAACTGTACTTATTTCCTCTTGAGTCGTGCCCCACCCCTGAAAGTACTCGGGGCCAGGTTGGATGGAGCTCTGAGAAACCTGGTCTAGTGAAAGGTGTCCCTGCCCATGAAGTAGGGCTGGAACTAGAAGAACTTTATGGTTCCTTCCAACCCAAACCATTTTCTGGTGCCAAGAGGAGAGTACTGTTATCAGCGCCTTACCCATTCTGTACCTCCTGCTGTCTCTCACTATTTACATTTGTAATCACTGCATTTTTTTTGGCCTGGATTCCTTTCTCAGAGAGTATCCCTATGAAGAGCTTGAGATGCTACAATGACTACAACTCACAGGTCACCTGCACATGGATGGAGCATTCAGAGGCTCATGCCCTTGTTAGTATGCGTCTTTACCAAAGGGATGACATTATAATGTAAGTACCAGAAATGTGCTGAGCTGGGTAAAAGTCTAAAGGCAAGTTGGCCACACCTTGGAATCCTGGAGACCAGCAGCCAGGTTTTCAGAAAGCATGGCCACCTCTTTCTGTCATTGGGTTAAAGCAAAAGTTGTGCCTGTTTCTGAGGCCTCATCTAGGAAGGGGAGAATAAATAGGCTATGCCAGTGGAGTTATTTTTATCACCTTCATCAGTATTTTCCATAATTTTGTTGTGGGATAATAGGTATGAAATGAGGCATGTAGGATACTAATAATGGAGAGGAGAAGATGGTGTCAGAACAAGTGTGAGCCTAAGTGTTGTTTGTAAAGCCAAAGGGGAGAAGGCATTCATTCTCTCTGTCATTTTGCCAATTTAGGAGCATTACAGAGAGTGAGGTTTTGATCACTTGTGAGAAACATGTATAGACTGTGTGTGAGATAGAGAAGACTGGTAAGTTCATCTGTGCTATCACTATTCCTCTCAGAGATACTGGTGTATCTCTCTGTTACATCTGCTTCCTTTTGAAAAGGGAACCGAATCACCAGACTGGATCAATTGTGAGGATAAGAAAGGACAGAGAGGGAGGAACAGTGAAGGGAGAGAGGAAGGCAAAGACAGATAGCTGAGAAGAAAATTATTTTGAGTCTGGGAATGCAGGAAGGAAAGGGAAGAGAAAGAACTCTTGATTTTTTTGCAAGCAAGAAGGAATTAATAGACCTAAAAGCAGCTGAAATCAGCGGAAGAACTTTGGAACATGATCCTGAAAGTAATACTTCTGGGAAAAGATGGTATAAAGTTACTTGGACCATCAGAGGATTCTCTGGTTGATAGAGTGTGTGGGTGATACAAGGAACATGACTGAACGAATTAGACAAGCAGAGATTAAACAGGGACACAGCTGAAATCAAAATGACCAATGAATAAACAAGATCAGTTCATAGATGAAGAACAGTTGACTAAATCCCAAACTGTAAGGTAATGCTGGTGAGTGGATAGAAATATCTTCAGGACTTCACAACCCTTGGGCTGATTCTTTTGTTCAAGGGTACCTGGTCAGTCCCACCCATACTTCAGCAATATCCCTGGTTTCCTGGCTGCCCAACTTTTAAAAATAGCAATAGTGCTGAATAATGCTATCTGACATATAGTTGGCTAGAAGACTCCATCCTCTCCTGGAAGACAGTATTTGGCCTTAAATATTCACAACTTAATATTTCTCATCTGAACTGAAACAATATAATATACTGGGCATGAAGCCATAAACACAAATGAAATTCCAGAGGGTACAAAAAGAAGCAACACATCCCTCCAGCAGCTAAGGCTACTGCAAGTACACAAAGATTATCCTCTCCTGCCTAGCTGAAAGTATTGTTTCTAATTTTCATGATGCTCCTTGGCCTGGAGAAAGGCTATCTGAAAGGATGATTAACATTCTGGGTGAAATCTTTAATGAATACTTAAGGTCCCTTGGCAGAACAGAACTGCTAAGGATACAGAAGTACATTTTGGTTGGAGAATGGTTTTTTAAGTGTCTTTCTGGGATGGCAAAATGAATGTCTTCAAGAAGCTAAGGATTGTCATAAACTTTACTGCCTTTTACGCTGAGCAAAAGGCGCATTTACATGGTATTAATTTTCATCATATGACTTCTCACCTAAAATTATGATATCACATAGAGCTAGGCTAAAAACTAACAAAAATAGACTAGTGCCAAAATATAACATCCTGCACAAGTTTGAACTGGGGAGGCATTTTGACAAAGGTGTAAAAAATGTTTCCCATATTAACTGATGCAAAACAGGACTAATAGGTAGAGTGAGACAGGATATAAGTGCCTTAGTAAATGGTTACAACAGAATGGGATGAAATTGGTTTCAGGTGTTTAATTTTGCATTAATATAGGTCTCCAGATCAGATTTTTATAGATCACTTTCTCTATATACAGGGAGGACAAAGAGATGTTTTGCAAACGCCAGACAGAAAATGACTTACACGAGGCTCCAGACAGATATGTGCACTGGGTTTGTCGCAACACTACAGAGTATTTTGGAATAGAGGTAGATAATACTTACGGCTTCAAACCTAACAAGATGCTTCAAGCAAAACTAAAGGTTGATCTTTTCCAAAATGGTAAGACTTAATTACCAAATTCTCATTTTCCAGTGAGTTTTAAGGATCTTTGAGAATGTGTTTGCAGTTCAGTCAGGAAGTGAATTCCACTTCCATTGTGAAAACTCGCCAAGGAGTTCCACATTGAGAGGGTGAGGCAGGGAGGGGAGAGGGCAAGTTTCTGGCAGCAGCTGGATCCAGAGTCATCTGAAAAGATACTGGGTGTTACTCTGGAAATGGGGAAGCTTACCTAGGTGGTTTCTTCCCCTCTTAGTGTCCCTTTCCTTACTATCTCCTCTCATGCATTGTGCCTTTGCCTTCCAGTTCAGACCCTCCCACCTCAAAACCTCTCAGTCCGCTCAACAGCATCAGGAGACTTCTTGCTGACCTGGAAAACACCCGATGGAAGCCAAGGGATGGACAATGCTCTGGAGTATGAAGTCACTTACAAGAGGGAGTGGGAGTCCTGGGAGGTAAGAGCAGAGGAGCCAAGCTGTCCTGGTGGGGGCTGCACTATTTTGAAATGGATGTTGAAAATCTGTGGCAAAAGTTTTGTGAATGAATGGTTTTTATATTCTCAGGCACTATGAAGAGATGCAACAAATGTTTTGGGCCAGGTGGAAGGGGTTCTTCATCTGTTTGTGGGTTACTTGCCCAGTGAAATACCATCTGTCCTGAACTGAATGCAAAGTTCTGTTCTCCACTGAAAAAAACGAAAAAAATCATCATGCTTGGGTTTTGAGTTGAAATTGATTACGCCTTGAATCCCTCCCAAATTGAATTAAATCATGTTCCCTCAGGAAGCTGTAGTTTCATGTGGGGAAAATGGCAAAATACCACTGAATATGGAATATTAAACACATTCTCCCTCTTTGAGAAGGACATGTTTTGGGTTTAGTTTTGCTTTTAGTTTCTAGGACTCTGTATCCTTTGCCCTATTGTTTCTCTAGATCTGCATATGTTTCTGTTCTGTACCTAGCAGCCTGATCTTTAGTTTTTAAGGGAAGTGTCCAGATTCCCACATAATTCTGCACCAACCAGTGTTATGAACATTTGTAGCTGGAGCTGCAGACAGTTGTGACTCCACAAGGTGCAGGAGTTGGCCTCCTTCTTGGGGGAAATGATGCCTGTGCCTCACCCTTCCTGCACCATGCTGGCAGCACTCACACTGAAGCCCCTCTAGTACGGGAGCAAGGAGCACTGCACGGCAGCATGTGCATGGACTATCACCTGTGTGGTATTAATGGAAGATGCAGCCTGACAGTCACCTCCTCTCAC